CACTAAGCCAGCCTTACAAGAAAGGTTCAAGAGGCTTCTTCAAACTGAAAGGCAAGAGCACTTATTGGGAACAAGAAAAAATATGAGAGTGTAAATCTCTCCCCAAAAAGTAAATATACAGGAAAGACAGTGAACTGATCACTTATAAAGCTAGTACATAGGTTTAAAGGCAAAAGTAATCAAAATAACTGTAACTTTAATAATTAGTTAAGGAATACACATAAAAATGTAGAATGTGACTTTAAAACATAATCATGTAGGGAGAGGAAAAATGTAGAGTTCTAGAATGCATTCAACATTAACCTGCTGTCAACTAAAATAGTTCATTAAATTTCTAGACTGTAATAGATGAGCCCTATGGTCACCACAAAGCAAAAATCCATAGGAGATACACAAAGGAAAATGAGAAAGGAATCTAAACATAACACTATAGAAAGTCATCAAACTACAAGAGAGCAAGAGAAGAAAAAAGGAAGAAAGAAACCACAAAACAGCCAGAAAACAACGAACAGAATTGCAAAAAGGACACACCTGTCAAGAATTAATTTACATTTCCATGGGTTGAGTTCTCCAATCAAAAGACAGAGTGGATAAATGGATTAAAAAACCCACAAAACAGAAGATCCATCTGTATGCCGCTTACAAGACTCACTTCAGATGTAAAGACGTACACAGACTGAAGGTGAAGGGATGGAAGAAGAGGTGGCATGCAGATAGAACCCAACAAAAATTAGAGGTACCTATACTGAGATCAGACAACATAGGCTTTAGAATAAAGACAGAACTCCATAGTGATAAAGGGGTCAATCCACCAAGAAGCTATAATATTTTAAAATATTTATGCACCCAGCATAGAAGGACCTAAATACATAGAACAAATACTAATAGACATAAGGGAGAGAAATCGACAGTAATACAATAACAGTATGGGACTTTAATACCCCACTTACATTAAAGGATAGATCATCCAGATGGAAAATTAATAGGGAAACATACATTTTAAATAACATATTAGACCAGATAAATACACACACGCGCACACACACACACAGAATATTCCACTCAAAAGCAGCAGAATACACATTCTTCTCAAGTGCCTGTGGAACGTTCTTCAAGATAGATCACATCAGGTGACAAAACAAGTCTCAATAAATTTAAGAAGACTAAGATCATATCAAACGTCTTTAACAACAATGGTGTAAAACTAGAAATCAATTACAAGGAGAAAACTGGAAAAAAACACAAATACAACATGGATGAATCTGGAGGGCATTATAACCGAAATAAAAAAGCCAGACACAGAAAGGCAAGTACCCTATGGCATTGTGGATAAAGAGGTGAGATCTATATCTATATCTATATAACTCAGCCATAAAAAAAAAGAATTAAAGGGGATCCCTGGGTGGCTCAGCAGTTTGGTGCCTGCCTTTGGCTGAGGGTGTGATCCTGGAGTCCCAGGATCGAGTCCCACATCAGGCTCCCTGCATGGAGCCTGCTTCTCCCTCTGCCTGTGTCTCTGCCTCTCTCTCTCTCTGTGTCTCTCGTGAATAAATTAAAAAAATCAAAAAATATTTTTAAACACACACATATATATACACACAGTTGTAACCACCATCCTGATTGAAATATACAGTTACTAGCAACCTGTTTCTCATGCCACAGCCCAATCAATAAGCTGCACCATACCCCAAGAGATAATCACGATTTTGACTTCTCTCACAATAGCTAAATAAATACCTGTTCTTGAACATCACATAAATGGAATCACAGAGTACTTTGTTTTTTGTTTGTTCATTTATTTTATTTTTTTAGATTCCACCTATAAGTGAAATCATATAGTATTTGTCTTTGTCTGATTTATCTCACTTAACATAATACCCTCTAGGCTCATCTGCTTTGTGACATATGGAACATTTTAATTCTTTTTTTAAAAAAATATTTTTATTTATTTATTTATTCATGAGAGACAGAGAGAGAGAGGCAAGACATAGGCAGAGGGAGAAGCAGGCTCCATGCAGGGAGCCTGATGTGGGACTCAATCCTGGGACCCCGGGATCATGCCCTGAGCCAAAGGCAGATGCTCAACCACTGGGCCACCTAGGCCTTCCAAAAATATTAAGGATCTAAAAAAACTTACTAATTTATACAATGAAAATTTTTACACTTCACTATATGAGTGTTATACTTCAAAACAAAATAGTACTCACCTAGAAATACAAATAATCCAGTGGAACATAGATTTTACTTAGTAAAGAGAGAGTGAGAGAGAGAGTGTGTGCACATGAGAAGGGTGAAGGGTAGATGGAGGGGGAGAGAAAGAATCTCAAATAGACTCTGCCTTGAGCACTGAGCCAATGCAGGGCTCAGTCTCACAACTCTGAGATCATGACCCCAGATGAAATCAAGAGTTGGATGCTAAACTGACTGTGCCACCTGAGGGCCCCTAGTAGAATACGATAAAAATATATAGAAAGGAAGAATGTACACTTATATGCAAATTTTAAAGAACTTTATTTTTAAAACAATTTCAGTTATACAGAAAAGTTGCAAAAATAAGAATTATTATATATTCCCATCCAGTTTTTCAAATTATCATATATTACCAAAATACATTTGTAAAAACCAATAAACAAATATTTGCACATTGAAGCAAACAAATGAAGAAAAAATTATTAAATCAAAATGGATTAAAGAGTTGAATATAAGACCAGAAACCATAAAACTTCTAGAAGAAAATGTAGGTGGTAAGTTTCTTGACATTGGTCTAAAAGATATCATTTTGGATCTGACAATAGAAGCAATGACTACAAAAGCAAAAATAAACAAATGAGACTACATTAAACTAAAAAGCTTCTGCAAAGGATAATAAATCATCAACAAAATAAAAAGGCAATTTACTGAATGGGAAAAATTATTTTCAAAAAAAAAAAAAAGAAAAATTATTTTCAAATCATATATCCCTTAAGGGGCTAATTTCCAAAATATTTAAAGAACTTCTACAATCCAACAACAACAGCAGCAACAACAAAACCCTACACTATTTGATTTAAAAATAAACAGAGGCTCTGAATAGACATTTTCCCACAGGAGCATCCAGATGGCCAACAAGCACATGAAAAGATGTTCAACATCACTCATCATCAGGGAAATATGACTCAAAACTATAGTTATCACCTTAAATTGTCAAAATAGCTGTTATCTAAAAGACAAAAAATAACAAGTGTTGGTGAGGATATAGGATCGTTAGGTCGTACAACACAAAACTAACATCATGTTGTATCTTAATTACACTCCAGCCTTAAAAATTTAGCTTTAATATATTTGTTTCTGCATGGAAAAAAAACTTGAAAAATTAGAAAAAGGTACACCTTTTAGACCAAAATTACATGGCCATTTTATAACTTCCTTTTTCCAGATTGCTTAACTAAACTCAGTCTCTTATACTTAAGACGATTTCTCTCAAGCATCTGTAAACTTTTGATTATTTTTCCCCCATACCAACAAGTAGATATGAAATCTTAAAGAGATTTTTGTGACCAAATTTTTCATGACTTGATTGTCATCCTCCCCTATCTACTACCTTCTTAAAATCCTAAGATAAAATCCTGAGAGAAATTTATCTGCATGTATAAATTGATGTGCTTTTTGCTTCTACTTTTTGCTTCCATGAAATTTTGGAAATCTCTTTCAAAGTTGTGGGGTTTGTGTGGTATGGAGTCGTCAGGGGGACCAGGCTAAGAGTAAATGGTCTACTCTCTTTTGGGGTATATGGTGGCTCAGAAAAAAAGATTATTTCTTAAGACCTTTAATTTCTGAGTACTTTCAATTTTCCTTGGAATATAACACTTGACCAAATAGTTCAGTTATTAAAACTTTTACAGTATACTGAAATACTGCACTTAAGAAAAAAAACCTTTATTTAAAAACAAACAGTAAACTCTAAGCTACCAAATCAATCATGTTACCTATTAAGTGCCAACAGTGTTATTTTATCATGCTGACTTTAATCTCATTTTTTAAAAAGGAGATAATACCAACAATTACAATAGAAAGGATTTCTAACTATACAAATGTAGGACTTTCATAACAATTCAAGAACTTGGTGGGTCTCAATTTAAATGACAAAGGTTCACTTCTTATTCAGAACTACAGCATGTGTCTTGGACACATTCCTTACTGCCAATAAATCCCAAAAGTTCATTCTCTAAACAATTCTTTAAAATCTAGGTTTGTTATGGTGTCTTTTGAGGGGAGAGGCAGGGTAAGGGAAGCTAAGTGTTATAGGTGATTCCTCTAGTTATCAAATTAGGGTGCTCAATTTCACCTAAAATTTTTGGATACCACTTGTGTGTTTCCATCATCTTTGAATAGCCTTTTAAAGTTTTACATCTTCCTATAATATTTTTATGGAGTCAGTTTTAATTCTTACAGAACATATTTTAAGGATACACAGCATTTTAGAAGCCAAGATTGTATCAAAACTTATTATAGAACTATAGAATAAACTGGTTTCAAACGAGAACAGTACAGAAAAGAACAGCTAGGGGTGCATAGACAGAGGACAATTAAAAATTTGGAAAAAAAAAAAAAGACTTACTTTCTCCATTCTGCTGATTTTCTTCCAATCTCCTTAAATGCACTTTTGGCAATATTCATTAAAAATTTAACAAAAAAAGAAGGAAAGAAAAGACAAATTTCTTTTTTATACAAAAATAAGTAGCACGCTGTTCTGACCCACACAGAATTTTTTTTGTTTATTTTTTGTTTTTAGTTTTTTTTGTTGTTGTTGTTTTTTTGGGGGATATTCTGTGAAAGTTCATTCGACAGACTTTTTTTTTTTAAACTAACTGTCCATTAAATTATTTCCTTCTCTTCTTTTAGTGAACTTGTAACATATACCCTTTAACAGAAGAATTTAAACAAACCTGGATTTCGCCTTTTCTCTTTCTCTGCTTCCGTTCCTCTTCTTTTCATTTTATTTTTTTAATTGCCATATATGGCTAGTTACCACTGCTACCTGACAGTAATATGTCTCGGATAAGGATTTTGATGGGGGTTTTACCCACCAAATGGACAAAAAATAATTGCTCTATCACTGAGGAGGGGACTGCGCGGAGAGAAGTGAGGCGAAGCAAAAGCTTTCCGAATCTCATTGGTTGGTTGGAGTACTGCCTTCTAACGTATTGTTCCAGTGCACACTGGGACTTTTCCTGCAAGCTTTCCACATTGACTGTATCAGAGAGACCAAGGGCATCTGGAGCAAACAGGATGATGGCCTTGAGGCAGCTGTACTCGGCAGGGTCGACGTGCAGAGCTTTGAACTTCTCCATTTGGTCTTGGAACATCTGTACGTTTTCCATAAAGACGGCCACCTGGTTGGAGGACCCCGGGGAGGTGTGTAAGCTGGTGGCGGCCAGGAAGGGGAGGACCTGGGGGGGCATGGAGCACTGTGCCCAGTTGAGCATGAACAGGTCACACCAGGTGAGGTGAAGCAGGGCCACTTGGTCATTCACCTCCAGGTCAGGGAAGAAAGGTATCTTCCGGGCCCATTCAACAGCACCGAAGAGCACACGAGCAGCCTGTTCGCAGATATTCTCAAGGATCAAGACATCGTTGGGCTGCACGTCCTGGCTGCCTGACCCAGACAGCGGATATGGCTCGGCGTGGATCAGCAGAGAAATATATCCAGACAGGTTAGTCTGGGAGTTGAGAATTTCCCCGTTGGCCAACATAAACTGCCCTTGGGGTGGCGGCGCGGGCAGCATCCTGTTCCTGTGCACTGCTTCCCGTTTCATACCCACGTCGATGCATTTTTTGAGGCGGCAGTACTGGCACTGTTTGCGGCGGTACTGGTCAACGCGACAATCTTGGTTGGCTTGACATGTGAAGGTCAGGTTCTTGCCCACACTGCGCTTGAAGAAGCTCTTGCAGCCCTCGCAGGTGAATTGGCCATAGTGCTTGCCGCTTGACTTGTCGCCACACACCAGGCAATTGATGGGCTGCTGCCTTTGTGCTTGCGGCTGCGGCTGAGGCTGCGGCTGCAGTTGAGGCTGCGGCTGAGGCTCTGGCTGCGGCTGCGGCTGCGGCTGAGGCTGAGGCTGCGGCTGAAGTTGTGGCTGCGGCTGAGGCTGCGGCTGCAGTTGAGGTTGCGGCTGAGGCTCTGGCTGCGGCTGAGGCTCTGGCTGCGGCTGAGGCTGCGGCTGAGGCTCTGGCTGCGGCTGAGGCTCTGGCTGCGGCTGAGGCTGCGGCTGAAGTTGTGGCTGCGGCGGAGGCTGCGGCTGCAGTTGAGGCTGTGGCTGCGGCTGCAGTTGTGGCTGCGGCTGAGGCTGCGGCTGCAGTTGAGGCTGTGGCTGAGGCTGAGGCTGCGGCTGCAGTTGTGGCTGCGGCTGAGGCCGAGGCTGCAGTTGAGGCTGCGGCTGAGGCCAAGGCTGCAGTTGAGGCCACGGCTGCATTTGAGGCCGCGGCTGAGGCCGAGGCTGCGGTTGAGGCCGTGGCTGCAGTTGAGGCCGCGCCTGAGGCCGAGGCTGCGGTTGAGGCCGTGGCTGCAGTTGAGGCCGCGACTGAGGCCGAGGCTGCGGTTGAGGCCGCGGCTGAGGCCGAGGCTGCGGTTGAGGCCGCGGTTGAGGCCGAGGCTGCGGCTGTGGCTGAGGCTGTGGCAGCGGCTGTGGCTGAGGCTGTGGCAGCGGCTGCGGCTGAGGCTGTGGCAGCGGCTGTAGTTGAGGCTGAGGCAGCGGCTGCAGTTGAGGCTGAGGCTGTAGCACTGGCTGTGGCAGCAGCTTGGGCAGCGGCCGCGGCAGAGCCCGAGCCCTGGGCGGCGGCCGCGGCAGAGCCTGAGCTTTGGGCAACGGCCGTGGCTTGGGCCGAGGCCGCGGTTTGAGCAGTAGCTTTGGCTGCTGCTGCGGTGGTGGCTGCTGCGGCGGCGGCCGCTCCGTATCACCACTGGAGCCACCAAGGTTGCCCTCGCTGCCAGCCGCCATTTCCTCCAGTGTGCTGGCTGGGCCCTCTTTTCTGGGTGTCTGCGGCTCATACTGGGCACTGGGTGGCGGTGGGTCTGGCCCAGGAGGCACCTGTAAGACCTGGCTCCCCTGCGAGCCAGGCATCTCATCTAGGGGGTCGCTCCCGGTGTCGGTTACCTTTTCCATATCCACCGGGGGCCGCGTGGGTAGTTCCTGCTCCCCTGGCTATGGACTATGGCGGCTTCTGATGTCGGGCTCAGTCGCACAGTCTTTTGTGTGTGTGACTGTGCGACAGGATGTAGGAGGGCGCCCCCGGCTGGCGCGGGGTCTGGTTGGTTGAGGTTGGTTACTTTTTCTTTTTTTGTTTCTCTTTTGTAAAGTTTTATCAGTTGCTTGTCTGGACCAGTGTTTTTGTTTTGTTTGTTTCTCTTGGTTTCACTTTTTTGGTTTCGGGGGCTTCCAACCAGGAAGGGAGAGGGAGGTGCCGGGCCTGAGGGAGCGGAAGCCGAATATGGAGAGAGAGGGAGAGGGAGGGTTGGGAGATCTGCAAGTGGATTATCGGGCTTCAAGATAGACATAGGAAGCAGAAAAAAAAAAATCTCTCTAAAGATATCACTTGCTTTCACTCTCTCCCTGCCTCTCTGGTTCAGTCTTCGACAAAAAGATTCTTACGGGGCAGCCCCAGTGGCCCAGCGGTTTAGCGCTGCCTTCAGACCGGGGCGTGATCCTGGAGTCCTGGGATCTAGTCCCGCATCGTGCTCCCTGCATGGAGCCTGCTTCTCCCTCTGCCTGTGTCTCTGCCATTCTCTCTCTCTCTCTCTCTCTCTCTCTGTCTCTCATGATTAAATAAAGAAAATCTTTAAAACAAAAATTCTTACGGGGTTTTTTTAATTTGGGAAGAGGCTGTTGCCCAGAAGTGCGTGACTAGTACAAATGCATGCCAAAGACTGTATTTCTTGGTCACAGTCCCTTAATAAAATGAGAACTGGAATAAAGAAGCAACCAAGGTTCTTTAGCAATGATGGCTTTTAGAGGAAAAGAACAGAGGAAACTTTTTTCACCAATAAGAGACAGTATGGAAAGTCTTTTTGAGTGAGAAAACTAGGTAAATAGGCTGCTACACTGTACAAGGGGATTTCAGACCAAATAGAATCAGAACTTAAGAGAACTGTGAGGTTGAACTATATGAATCTGCTAGCATTCAACTCTTGATTTACAAAAAGATCAATTTCGTATAGTTCAACGCAATATCATCCACTTCCCACAGAACAAATTTACGAGAGGCAATGCCATATATTACCTAAGGACTTTAGGGTTTGATTGCTTGGAGGCAAACTCCACCTCTGTCGTATAACATATGTGTGATTTGGGGTAAACGATTGTATCTCTCTGTGTCTCAGCTTTCTTATCTTAATGATACTGGATTGTATTACTAAAGGCAGCAATTTCAGTATCCATTTTATTGTTTCTTGTATAATTTAATTGCTTCCAGTTTGGGGTAATTACAAGCAATACTACTACAAATAATTCTTTTACATATATGTTGGTGCTTAGTTGTTAACTTTTCTCTGTGATGTATACTCAACAGGGGAAGTTCTGGATTATAGAGCATATACTTTTCTAATATTGATATATAATGCTGTATTGTTTTTTAGTATAGTTGTATTGATTGACATTCACCCCCACCACAGTTGTATGAGTTCCTATTATTCCACGTGTTTGCCAACACAAGTATAGTCACACTTCAATTTCTGCTGCTCTAGTGACTATTTATTGGTATTTAATTGTGGTTTTAATTTCCCTGATTACTAATAAGTTTGAGTACCGCTTATATAAAAGTACTCAAACTCATTTGGATTTCTTTTGTGAAATATCCCTTCAATTTTATCTGTTTGACAATTGCATTGTTTGCTGTTTTTCTTTTTTTTTTAAATTGATGTATTGGGCACTATGTTCCACGACTATTCTCCTCTAAATTTATAGATTGATCTTTTTTGACCACTTAAGATCACTGTGTGTTCTGGCTTGTGGTTAAAAATAATCAAAAACAGATTCCCTCTGCAAGGCAATTCCAAGGCACTTTTCCCTACAAACCATAGGGATGAGAATGTGGTTCAGGTTTACCTCCCGTTTACCCTTCCATCAAAGTTAGTTCTGTAGGGTGCCAACTTAAAATGAGGCCGATCGGTTTGCATTCCTGTCTGCATACTTTCAAACTCCCTTGTTCAGCCAATATCTGTAGGGCAAAAGGTGCTTCAAACTTGACCCTATATCTGGGTTCTACTAAAATTGACTAAAATTTTGCCATCATAATTCCTTGCTATCTTGTCAGTTCTTTGATATGTACACACACACACACACACACACACACACATCTGTATATCCAATATACTTGTTTGGTGGTTCCAGAAAATTTAGTCTGCCATGTTTCAGAAAACAGAAGTCATTGCTGAGTAAACCTATAAAATCCTGTCCTGTACCTCATGCCTTCCATTATCTTACAAATAAGTTGACATCTAACAAAGGGAAACCAGACTCAGAACTAGAGAGATTTTCCTTTTTTTTTAATAAATTATTTGATTTTTTTTATTTTTTAAGATTTATTTATTTATTTATTTACTTATTTATGATAGACACACACACACACACAGAGAGAGAGAGAGAGAGAGAGAGAGAGAGAGAGGCAGAGACACAGGAGGAGGGAGAAGCAGGCTCCATGCCGGGAGCCCGACGTGGGACTCAATCCCGGGACTCCAGGATTGCGCCCTGGGCCAAAGGCAGGCGCTAAACTGCTGAGCCACCCAGGGATCCCCTAGAGAGATTTTCATTAAAGGGTAGAGTTATTTGAAATACCTAATAGTTTTTGGCTATAACTATTCCCCCAGTGGCCTTCCAGAGTAGTGGTAATGTGAGTCTAAATGAACTCAGGGCCCCACTGTCCATGAACAGCAGTTATCCTGCTTGAGTTTAAAGGATTTTTACTTAGAATAAGAAACTGTATTAGGGATTTCATGTGCAAAACATCAATCCTGTTAACAGGTGCTTAACCTGCTTCCAATCAGCAGGGCACAGAAGAAAACATATTCTATGGTTCTAATGAGTGTAGGGAAGGGAAGAAAAGGACTAGTTTTAGTATCTGCTCTGCCACATGCTATCTGTATGTGTATATCCACTTTGGGATTTAGTTTCCCTCCTGAAACCTCAAGAAAATTGCCTATTATATAAAAATTGCCTATATATATTTATATATATATAGCCTATATATATATGTTGTACATAAAAACACTAATCAAATACCATTCTATTTACAAATAGAAGGTACTTCTATTTGTAAGCTACAAATAGAAGGTACTTCTATTTGTAAGCTACAAATAGAAGGTACTTCTATTTGTAAGCTGACCTATAAGATTTGTATTCTTTTTTTTTTTTCTGTTCTTTGATCTCATTCTAGTAACCTATCCTTCATTTGGGACAAATTGTCAGAAGTTTCTGGCATGTGAACTTAAATATACTTTTCCTGATCACATTTATTCAGGACTTCCAAAATAAACATCTTACTGAAATAATTCCTGAGTAATTTTATTAATAATATTAAGGTATTACATATACTAAGTGCCCGATATTCCATACACATGACTTCAAACCCTCAATGCCATCTCAGTTAGATATTTATTTCAGTTTTATAGATGAATGAATTGTTATTTAGAAATAAAAAGTGATTTGCTCAAGGTTTCTCACCTTGGTAATGTAGGGATTTAAACCCATGTTCATCTGATATCAAAGCATACTTTATACAGCACTAGAACACCTCAAAAAATACCAATGAAATTTAGTGGTATTTCATGCTTATTGACATCTGCATTGACAGATGGACTGACATGGCACCTCCAATACATTCCACTTGCATTATTAAAAAGCCTCTTTGGAAAAGGAGTGATACTAATTCTTACATTTACTGTACCCACCCACAAATGATGTAGTACATTATTTGCTGCCAAACATTTGTTGTCACATAGACATGAACATTGTATTGTTCTACATTTCATCTCATTTCCTAAGAGATATTACAAAACCACTATTTACCCAAGGATTTTAATTAAAAATGGATATATCAGCTCTCCATTCGTTACCTTTAGTCAGAGTCACTGAACTTAGTCATTGCTGATTTTAAAATTTCTCCAGAAATTATTCAAGGCTGATGCTGAAAATAAGTAATTTTACCTAGTAGCAATAAATTAGAAAATGCTAGACTATATAACATTTAAATTATTCAAGTATTTCTAAAAAAGTGAATAATGCAATCCCTATCAAAATACCATGGACTTTCTTCAGAGACTTAGAACAAGTTATTTTAAGATTCGTGTGGAATCAGAAAAGACCCCGAACAGCCAGGGGAATTTTAAAAAAGAAAACCATATCTGGGGGCATCACAATGCCAGATTTCAGGTTGTACTACAAAGCTGTGTTCATCAAGACAGTGTGGTACTGGCACAAAAACAGACATATAGATCAATGGAACAGAACAGAGAACCCAGAAGTGGACCCTGAACTTTATGGTCAACTAATATACGATAAAGGAGGAAAGACGATCCACTGGAAGAAAAGACAGTCTCTTCAATAAATGGTGCTGGGAAAATTGGACATCCACATCCAGAAGAATGAAACTGGACCACTCTCTTGCACCATTCACAAAGATACACTCAAAATAGATGAAAGATCTAAATGTGAGACAAGATTCCATCAAAATCCCAGAGGAGAACTCAGGCAACACCCTTTTTGAACTCGGCCACAGTAACCGGAGAAGGACAAACAGTGTATGTTCTCATTCATTTGGGGAATATGAATAATAGTGAAAGGGAATATAAGGGAAGGGAGAAGAAATGTGTGAGAAATATCAGAAAGGGAGACAAAACATAAAGACTTCTAACTCTGGGAAATGAACTAGGGATGGTGGAGGGGGAGGAGAGCGGGGGGTGGGGGTGAATGGGTGACGGGCACTGAGGGGGACACTTGACGGGATGAGCACTGGGTGTTATTTCTGTATGTTGGTAAATTGAACACCAATAAAAATTAATTTATATATTAAAAAAAAATAAAAAATAAAAAAGTGAATAAGTGCCTGGGACTTAGGGCCCTGTTTATTA